TCCTACTACAGAATTTGTTGTATTAAACCACTGAAAAGAACAGATAATTTTTTCAAAAGGCAAATTATGGAACTTGCAACTTAATAGGTATACAAGAGAAAAGAGAGAGGAAATATGTGATGTTGGAGCAGAAATGTGAAAGGGTGGGCCAAACCTTGACCACTTTTTGGATTTGATAAATTTTATGGAGTTTTTAAATTATTGGAATTAATACATCTCTGCTCAGTAGGCTCATATATCTGTGGAATGTAGTTGGCCTTCAAGAAACAAAAAGGTCAGGAGATAAGCTCAAGTCTTGAAGCACAAATACATGATTTCTATTAAAGTTGAAATAGCGAAAAAAATCTTGCTTTATTCCAACACTTGATTTACATAGTTAAAATTATTAGTTTTCTTTATTAGTGAACGATTGTAAAGATCCTGCAGCAAATGTGCTGTGAGATTATACTTTAATTACAGACAAATTGTAATTCTTTTGCCCCTCATTATCTGGGGGGTTTTCTGGCATCTTTATTTTGTGTAACTGATATGCAACATAAAGGATTTGTGAATGATGTATAATATACTTGAAGCGTGTACTCCTAACATCTGCCGGATAATATGTTAGTGGTAAGATCTTTTGGGTTTCTGTCTTTGGTTTTTCAATGAACAACAATTTGATAGGAAATGATTCAGCTTTGCCTTGGTTTCCTTTAAAGCACATACCCACCGAATCTGCTGCAGATATTTCTAAGCAGAGGGCAGTGCCTCTAACTGATGTGCGCTGGATGTCAGAAAGTGGAATCATTGACGTTTTTCTGCTGATGGGACCCACAGCATTTGATATCTTCAGGCAGTTTGCACAACTGACAGGTACTAACTCAAATCATTACAGCAAATTTACATCTCTGAGAATCTCTGAGGGGCTTGTTGTTCTCAAGCTGAACTCGATGATTGTGGCTCCCATCCAACTGCAGATGTTCTGTAATTCTGTGATTGTTTAGTTACTCGCATTAATGACAGTTAAACTCATCTGTAATATTTTTACATTAGAAAAAAATAAAGAATAAAATTATATTGTTTACTGCAATAATATTTCAGTGTCACCAAAGAAGAAATACCTTCTCTGTCATACATTATCATTACAGCCTTCTGGCTGTTAAGCCTGTTGTAACCATTGTTATTTCAAGAGTTCAGTCACTTGGATGTGAAAAACATGCTCCACTCACAATGTAGGCATGAATTCCCTGTATCCAGGCACTTATATATTAATCATGGCTCTTAAGTTAACTTTCATGGTCTGTAGATAAAGTCCTGAAAAGCATTAACAGTATTAGCTTCATTCATATACTCTTCCTAGGCACTCAAGCACTACCTCCCCTCTTTTCTCTGGGCTACCATCAGTGCCGGTGGAATTATGAAGATGAACAAGATGTCAAGGCAGTTGATGCGGGTTTTGATGAACATGACATTCCTTATGATGTGATATGGCTGGACATAGAACATACAGATGGCAAGAGATATTTCACCTGGGACAAAAAAAAATTCCAGAACCCCAAGAGAATGCAAGAACTTCTCAGGAAGAAAAAACGCAAGGTATATAATATATCAGGAAGGAAGAAAGTATTCATTTGCAGCGTGAAGTTACCCAGTCAGCTTTAACTAAAGTATTTCAGATACTAGAAACCATGAAACTACAACAGTAAATTAGATTACATTGCACTACGGTGATGCTTCCAGTGGGCATTTTTTTTTAATCCTGCTCCTCATGACACTGTATTATTTCGTAGTTTGTCCTCTACCCTTGAGCATGAGGCCAGGTTTGAGCCTTTTGAAGCTCCATTTTGCAGAAGCTGCCCAGTACTGAACTTAACGTGAGCTTTCACTACTGGTAGTTGCTATGCTTGCCTTTTATCAATAGTAAAATTTTACTGTTTTACTCAGTACAGTTGATGTTAATAACGTATTTTATTTTCTTATTCTGACAGCTTGTCGTCATTGTAGATCCACATATTAAAGCTGATCCTATGTATACCCTGTATTCACAGGGAAAAGAAAAGGGATATTTTGTGAAAGACAGGAATGGAAAAGATTTTGAGGGCATCTGTTGGCCAGGTAAAAAAAAAAAAAAAAAAAAAAAGCTGTTCCATTTCTTCGTTTTGAGCTGTTAATTTTAAAAATTTTACAGAATCAGAAACAGAATTAACTTCTCATAGTACTTCCATTTTTGTGGTTATTATTTCAAATTCTTTGTGGTTTCGTTGGCTTTGTACATTCATGTTCTAATTGGCTTAGCTGTACAGCTTTCTCTGCTGTGTCTGTTGACTTTGCTCCCATTGCTCAGAGCTAGAAACAATCATTGGTGTGTGTATAATCAATGAATATACAGGTGTTATAATTAAGAAATATACAAAAGAGTTTGGCTAAGCCAGTTATTACACTAAAAAGAATAAATAGAGGGCTTACCCTTGTCCTGGTCCCACTGGAAAACTCCAAAATGAGGGATCTCCAGGAAGAGATCCTTCCCTACTGGTAGTCAGCTCTTAAATGGGGTCTAGGAGAGGTGGAGACAAGCTCCACCCCTTCACCTGTTCTCCCTGGGCTGATTCATTGCTCGCCTCAGGTGATCAATCAGAGGTTCAGCCCATGATTCAGGAGTTCCCATACAGTGCCCGTTGTGGAAAGCATCCTAACTGTAGGCCACTGTATTTAAGTGCAAAGATAATACATGATCTTGAAATAAGTTAAATAACTGGAATCTCCTACATACACAGGTTCCTCTTACTATCTGGATTTCACTAATCCTGAAGTGCGAAAATGGTATGCAGATCAGTTTGCCTTCAAAACATACAAGGTGTGTATCTATTTACACTGACCTCCATGTACCAGAAAGTCTAAAAATGGGGAAAAGAAAGAAGAAAAACTGCTGGCTAAGCAAATAGATGGCTTCTGTAGTTGTAATATTATTATGTACAGGAAAGTATCTTGGTAAGCTGAAATACTGTACAAGGATTTTCTCCATGGACTTATCTACTGTGAGAAAGCTGGAACCCATATTCCACCACTGAAACTGCTTATTTAGCTGTAGCAGTAGATGGACAGAGTGCAGTAATTTTTGCAACCCGTCATCTAACACAGCCCTTGCATTCTAGTGTTTACTACAGTGACAATACAAAAGGGGTAATGTAGGCATGCTTTCTCGTAGCTCGTGGTCACATCATCTTGACCTTGCAACTCTGTTACAGGGGTCCACTAATATCCTCTTTGTGTGGAACGATATGAACGAGCCGTCAGTTTTCAAAGGGGCAGAGCTAACAATGCAGAAAGATGCTGTGCACTACAACAACTGGGAGCATCGGGAATTACACAACCTCTACGGATTCTACCAGGTAGAGTATCAGGAGGCATAGACCAGCAATTATCTGTCCTCATGGACTACGTGTAATGTGGTAAGGATGTTATTTACACAGTAGCAGGTGTTCTGTAACCTCCACCAGGAAACGAAACTCTGCTGCACTAAGTATTGCTGTATTTGAAATAAACTTCTCCATGGCTGGTAACAAGACAATATGACAGTATCCATGCCTCGCTAACATCACACTGGCTGTGACTACATAATATTAGTGATTTTTTTGTTGTTCAAGTCTATTCCAGGAGAAAAGTATCAGTTTAATAATAGCAATTATCTATGAGCACACATTTCTTAAATATGAAGAGCCAAAAATGTGGTTTAGCAAATATCTTAATTATAGAGCTCATCTTCTGAATTTTTATATTTATGATTTTCAGCAAATGGCAACTGCTGAAGGACTCATCAAACGTTCTTCCGGAAAAGAGAGACCATTTGTTCTCACACGATCTTTCTTTGCTGGATCACAAAAGTATGGTAAGCAAAGACTAGCTGCATGCCTTCCCTATTGGTTTGTTTTCTTCAGCTTGCCATGTAATGGTTTCTGTCCTCTTTAGACTTACTATCTTAAGAGTGCAAATTATTAAACTGAAAAAACTCAGGAAAAGATGGCAAAGCACATACAAGTCAATAACAATCTGTATCCTCTGACAAAACACTGTGAACCTTATTGTATAATTCAAGATAATGCATGTATTATAAAAAAGGTTGCAATGAACAGTAGTTCATGACCATTCTTGTTTTCTTTGCTAAACTACAAGCATAAACTGAATTGTAAACCCAGCTTTCCTATGTAATCCTGAAACTGAGTATTTTCAGGGGCAGTGTGGACCGGAGACAACACAGCAGAGTGGGGTTACTTGAAAATCTCCATTCCAATGCTTCTCACCATCAGCATGGCAGGGATTTCATTCTGTGGAGGTAAGGTGTTTGGCTGAAGTTGCTCACCATACATCCACTAGTGCCACCAGGCTTCAACAGTCCAGTGCATTTCCGGGTAGATTCACAGATGAATCTGGTTCAGAAACTAAAAACCTGTCTCTCACCATCACTTCTCCACTTAGTCTTTCTGTAGTGTTTGTGACCTGGAACAGTGATCTCTAGGTGCTGGTCTGTAGCATCACTGTAGCTGTCTTCGGAGGTTCAAAACCTCCTAAAACTCTCTTGCTATTTTTATTAAAGGATAATTTGTTACCTCAGTTTTCCACTCGAAATTGGACAAGCGGCTATCCAACATCAGAACCGCAACTACACTGTGAAATTCATGAATTTATATACATGGAATGCTTGTTAGAGGAGAACTTCAAATTCTTCAGAATAATTTCCAAAAATGTGTATTTTTATTTGTCTGCGCAATATCTAGCTGATGTGGGAGGGTTCATTGGAGATCCAGAACCAGAATTACTTGTTCGCTGGTATCAGGCTGGAGCCTACCAGCCCTTCTTCAGAGGTCATTCTAACATGAAGAGCAAACGGCGAGAACCGTGGCTCTTTGGGGAGAAGAACACCCAGATCATCAGGGAAGCCATTAGAGAGCGCTACGTCCTCCTGCCATACTTATACACACTGTTCTATCGGGCACACACAGAGGCTGAACCAGTTATGAGGTAAGCACGTAAGTCAGGAGGCTAGTGATTATCCTTAGGAAGCCACTTAGATGAGGGAACTTAAATCACTGTCTCATACATTTGTGATTACTTAAATAGTTTGAAGTCTAAATTCTATTTTGCTTTCTGCAAGCCTTGATAAGGTTACTAGAGAAAACTAAATATCATGCTTACTAAATGACACCTCGGACACGCTAACTCACATACTCAAAAAAATGTTTTTAAAGAACTGTGGACTCCAAAATTCTCATAATAAACAACATTGTCTGGTGTTCCAAACCACACTTAAAACTGTGCTTAATAGGCTCTGAAGTTGCTGGCCAAAAAACATAAAGGCAATTTTGCTGCTCATGAAAGTACTTGTTATTGCTGTATTGTTGGTATTATAAAAGCTTTTTTCACATTGATAACTTGCTTATTTATCTCTGTAGTATATTTTATCATTTTTCTTGTAGTAAAGAAGCTAGTAGTTTGGAACAGAAATGAAGTTAGAAAATCAGCTTTTGTTCTGCTGCTCACTTATAAGGAAATGTCACAGTAGAACTGAATGCAGAAGTAATTTCAGCAAGAGATAAACGTCATCAGTTTCTCTGATATTACTGTGCCTTTGAATTTATCCTTAGAGATATCCTTTTCCAGCACATCTACCTTTACCCATTATTATGCAAATAAAATACTTCTACATTTTTTTGTTTTGTTTTAAAAAGATATTTTTGAAGGGGATTGAGTATTTTGAGTTTACAGTGGTTTGCATTATAGAATCTGTCTGCACATATGTAGATGTAGAAGCCCCTGTTGTACACACTGGCAGACAGCAGGCTTCTGTCTTTGTTGAAAAAGGTACACAATTAGAGAGGAAGTATGGTATTTTTCTCAGTGTAGAAAATGTGTCTCATCAGTGGCCAGCAGGGCTGTAGTGAACAAGTGGAGGTTTATAAGTAACATGTGAGCCAAGCTTTCTTTGTAGGGAAGCCCCAGAGAGCTGCTGCAGACCGTCTCTGACTTGAACGAGCTCTTTCTGTCATAATCTCTCAAAACGAACTATACACATCTATTATGTGTCTAGAAGACTATTGCAGTTCTCTTTATTGAGAAAGGCTGAAGTTGAACTTCTAGTGCAGGTTTTCCAGTGTGTGACCAGGAGACATGCTGCAAAACAGAGCAGAAAGGACTTGCTCAGGGATTACATCAAGTGTCAGCATTGCTAGTAGAAAAGCTCATCCATCTCTGCTTTGCTAGAGGGAAGGCATCTGTAATGCAAGTTTCCAAAGAAGAAGGCAGCAATGAAGAAAGTGAGGCTGCAGGCGGCCAAACCATAGGTACTTTGGAGTGCACCTTAAAGTGGTACTTTAAGGCACGGAATAGGAAATTGCTCTATCTCCAATTCTCAATTGCTTTTAAGAGAAGGAAAAAGTGAAGCCTAAAAATGCCAGCAGGCCTTGAACAGGGTGGTGGGAGAGGAGAAACTAACTGAATTCCACTGTCTGTCTTTCTTCAGGCCTCTCTGGATAGAGTTCCCAGAGAAATTAGAAACTTTTGGAGTGGAAGATGAATACATGCTAGGTAAGCCCGTGTGGCTGGGTGTGCAGTACAGCCCAGCTGAGTAACAGTGCTGTAGCAGAATGAGACCTGAACAGTCATCAACTCCTTACATGCCTTTTTTCTCCAGTACAAAGTGAACACTAGGTATGCTCAAGTGAGCGTGATGTGGCTCAAGCAATCCCTTAAAATGAATACAGGAAGCTGACAACCCTACTCAAAACCAGAGCAGACTGCTACTGATGAGATGAGGCCTCAGGCACCACAGCAATCACTTATTGCCATGTTTATGCTTTTCTCCAGGAAATGCTTTGTTGGTATATCCGGTCACGGACAAAGAGGCCAAGGCAGTGAGTGTTCTGCTTCCAGGGTCGAAGGAGGTAAGGGTGATACAAAGCTGCTCAGCTTTTCAGCCCACACAAATATATTATACAGCAACCTTCCTGCTCCCCACCTCATAAGTGCTATGCATTGCCACTACACCAGCCATTCTGTGCCACTCTAAGCCTTCCTTTTCCACAGGATGGCACTGTGATCCATTCCTACACAGACTACTTGGCTGCAGCAGCTAAGTGAAAGAAGGGAGGGAATCTGGCAAAAAAAATTCAGAAGGGAAAAAAAGCTTGAGGTTTAACCCTAGAGACAGATGAAAGCAGTGAAGGGAAGTGTGAGAGACTGCAGAGCTTTGTTATTGCACTAATGGACCCTAGGACACTTAACAATTTTTTCTTCCATGTAAAAAAAAAATAGATGAGGCTCTCCAAACAAGCTAAGAAACATATTTTTCTTATCAAGATCTCTGTGGGAATTCAGTGCCTTGCTCACCTGAAGTAGTTAAACCTGCTGGCAGGAGTGATGCATGGGAAATTTCAGGTGTAGCTCTTTTTTGTTATTTTTGCACTTCAGTATAAATACACTCATTCTGGAACAGAGCATTTCTAGACCAAAAAGAAAAAAAAAAAAGAAAAAAATCGTTTTGAACTACAGGGTGCTTTAAAACATGCAAGATGTTATGCAAACTGTAGAAAAATAGGTTTATTTTTCTGCCTCAGGCAAAGAATAAGGTTTCATTACTATCCAAGGTTATTGAATTTAAAAAGTAGATGTAATTTCTTGTACATTAATTATGTTGTTAGGGATAATGAAAGTAAGAGATGAAGGAAAAAATAACTCTGCAAAGGGAACAGATCTTGTCATGTACTTCCTGCTCATCCTTTTTTCATTTTTCCTAGGTTTGGTATGATTTCAGAAAATTTAAACGAATGGAAGACCAAGGCACTCTGAAGATCCCAGTAACACTGGAGAATGTATGTTAGTTGAATAGTTTTCTTTATGTGCTTACAGTAGAAGTTTCGTTCTGAGATTTGCAAAGGAAAAACTGAAGATTTTCCTGTTCCCAGTTAAAATTACATGATCAGAGTTATATGAATGTTTCTACACTGGCCTTGTTTTGGCAGATTCCCATATTCCAGCGAGGGGGCACTGTGATACCTCTTAAGACTGCAGCTGGAAAATCCACTGAATGGATGACAAATATTTCTTATGAACTCCGCGTGGCACTGAACACAGAGGTACTCTGAAATAATGTTCGCCTTACAAAGTTGCCTTTTGCCACATTTATCCTAAAGCCTAAAGGTGCTTCCAATGGCCCTCTATTAAGTTTCTGCTGGTAGGTGCTCCCTCCTTCCTCCCAGTATTCTGTCAGAGTGAAACTGTCAGAGCGCAGCATGGGCAGAACATTTTTCTGACTTTTCTCGGCCCTCCACCAGTGCTTTGGAAGAAGAAGAAGCAGAGAATTGGCAGGGCACAAACTTCCTGGACATGTAGGTAGAAGTTCCCACAAGTGTCCTTTCTAATAAATGAAGTGACACCTGGACCTAAATCAGCTTGCAAAACCAGAACGTCCAAGTTTTCAGAGCACTCTCAGAGCTGGACTCCCTGAACCTTCTGGAGATACAAATAGCTAAAAAACCCAACCAAACAAAAGCCACACACACACAGAAAGACCTCACAACCTTCACTATGAAGCATAACACATAATGAAACAGTATTCTATGTTTCTTTGTCTAATACTAGAAGATGCTATTAGCTTGGACTCCATCTGTTGTGTTTCACAGGCCTGTGCAGTAGGTGAGCTCTACCTAGATGATGGACATTCATTTCAGTATCTCCACAAAAAGCAGTTCCTGTTCCGGAAATTCACTTTTCACAAGAACATTCTCTCTTCCAGGTAACAACAGAGGCAGATAGAAGCCACCCAACATACATATTGTCAGTGGAAATGTCTTGTAAAATATGGAAATATTAGTCTTATGTGTTGCTTAGTGAAGTTCCCAGAATAGCAATAGCTACTGGTAAGGAATCCTATAACTGCCAATATTAGACTTTTACTAGTGAAGTCTGTTGCCCCCAGGGCTATGTGGTGCATGGATAATGAACTTAAAGGCATTTCATTATTCTCTTCAGTTTCAAAAATATGCAGTAGTTAGTTGGTCTTCAAATCACAAGCAAAACTGTAGACTACTTAAATGATGTAGGTAAAAGCATGCTTCAAATCTGAACATGTTCAAATTTAAGGATAGAACTGAAGCATGTTGCTAAATTACTTGCAAATCTAGAAGTTGCAGGGGAAAAAAAAGTCATTTAGATGAATAATATAACACTTTGCCCCCAAAAATGAAAATCTGACTTTCATCCAAGTTTTTGTATTTATAAACATATAAATTAAAGTAGTTTCAAAATGAAAGATAATTAAGCTTAAGACTGAAACATCTTACTTGAAAAATGTTAGAATTGACTTTACATTTGTATTTTGGGGTTTTCACTACCACTTCACAGAAAAATCAGAACATTTCTGGTTATCGAAGCCATGCTTTGTGTCACAAAATATCTTCTCAAACTATTTTGTCCCCTTCTGACTTTATGAAATCTGCTATGCAGTCAAATATTAGCAGATAACAGCAGAAAAATTTTATTTCTTTCAGGAGAGAGGTAAATAGAGAAAAAGGAAACTGGTTTAGGGAATTTTCAGGGTAAGACTGAAGTAGTACTTTCTCAGTATAAGACTGAACTTCTAGTGATGGACAGAAACTATGCAAAATACTGTTCTTTTTTTCAGCTGCACAGATGAGAGCGGTCAATACCGTACCACGTGTGTAGTCGAGCGCGTGATATTTCTGGGACTTGGACAACAACCCACTTTAGTGACAGCCTGTTCCAAGGGTAATGAACCAACTTTCATTTTACTACATTTAGTTATTCTGATTCTGCTGCATTCTTATGTATATATTTGGCACATTTGACTACTATTTGTTTTGTGTTCAGTCCTTTCCAACAGTGGCAGAGACAGTTTGAATTAAAAACTGTAGTGATTCACCTATAACTGTATTTCAGAAGGGTTATTCCTAAATCATATAGTAAATTCTCTTCTCCTTTCCAGGTGGAAAAGAAAAAGAAGTGGTTTTCACATATGATACGAAGACTGCTGTACTGATTTTGGAAAATTTAGCCCTGAGAGTTGATAGTGACTGGGAGATTTGTATCAAGTGAAAGACAACAACTTCTTCAGATAAGTCATTGAGAGCTTGAGGGGAAATCAGTCTCAAAGACTTAAAGTGTTCACTTGAATCCAATCAAATCAAGGAATATTTCCCACACACCCAGCCCCAAAGTAACATTTCTTACAATTTTTCTTTTAAAACATTGATTTAAACTTGGATAACTCTTCTGCCTGGCAAAATAATAGTGCTACGATTGTCTGTGGAGGATAACTAAGGAGTATTTGTTCTAGACTAGTTTCAATTGGGCTTTAAGAGTACAGTCAGTCTTTAGTTACACCAAAAAAAAATCATGAATTGATTGTGTGAATTTGTGGCTCATTTGCATGGGGTTTTATCTAAGGATTTAGAAATCCCACCTTTCGCTGCTTAGAGCACTTGAGGAGAGCAAAACCACACCAGTTTGACAAACAGCATCAGTAGATATACCAGATGCTGAGATCTGCCTGCAAAAGCTGCCTTGTAAAAACAATCTCAGAAAGCCACCCACCATGGTTGCGGATGCTTCCTCTTTCCAGTCCTTATGACCCTGTAGAATTCATCAGTCTGCATGGGAAAGTAAACAACAGGCTAGCTGAACAATTCGGTCACCAGGCTTTGAAGAAGTGGTGCCAATCAGTTGGGAGAGCAGAATTCTCTCCAATAGCTGGCTTGGAAACTGGCTTTTGAAAAGGTGTATGTCTATGGCAATAGTAGCAGTTTGGGGCAGCAGCTAGGTTCCCATGGAAATGTTTTCCACAGCACTGCTTCCCTCTTTCTGCCAGCGCTACTTTAAAAATTAATTTGTAGGAAAGAATTGGCCTCTTTTGAAAGATTAAATGTCATTGGTTAAAGTTAGTCTGATGAAGCAACATCCTTTCATGGAACTCTGCTCCTCCAAATCTTTGAGCTTTTGCTAAGCCCTGGCTTTCATTATATTTAGTTTAGCAATTTCCTGGTCAGCTTTTGGTATCTAGCTGAGATTTGAGCTTGAGTAGATGGCAATGAAAAAGGCAGAAATTATTTCTTCTAAGACAATAAGGAAATATTTTCCATAGCAAACTCTTAGGAAAAGAGAAGGATAGACACAATTTTTGTCCACTAAAGGGAACATGGTAATGCATTTGTACATTGTCCCCTACTCTTCGTGCTAAGCCTGCTCAGTGCTTGGTCAGTCATTCCCACCTGCTGCTGTTTGTCCTCTGCAGGACAGATTTCTGGGAATAACAGCATGAGAGCAAATGGTGACAACTACTCTGTTGAGTACCAAGTGCAGCTTGTTTCCCATCAGACCCTTAGCTTCCTGCTTTTTTTATTCTGCAGAGCTTTCAACAGAGATTCAACTCTTTGTAGCAGACACTCTGAACCTCCACTCCAGGAACTGGGAACTAGCAGCCTAGCTGCTGTGCTTAATGCAGACAAGTTAATCCAGGTGGAACAGTAGCAAATAGATCTTTTACATCTCTGAGAAGAGAGACAAACTCTGTTTTTCAGACGGAACCCTATTTTTCTATCAGCTTCTAAAGCTTTGATTGATAATGGCTTCTTTTATTTAAACATAGTGGTGCTGACAGGGTGTAATTATTGTCTGGGGCGTTTTAATGAAATGTTTTAACTAATATTACTGAAGTTTGAAAGTGAAATAAAGTAACAGCAAAGTGAGTTATGTGCTGTGATCTAACCTTCTTTTTTACTGTTGAGCATTACTTATAAGTATTCTTTTAACTGTATGTGAGTAAAGTGAATGATTAAATTTTATGCTGTGACCCGCAGCAAATCTGCACTGATATAAGTACTCATAAGTCAAATGTTCAGTGTTACAACATGCCTAACTTCTGGGGACTTTGAGAAGAATTAGTTGCACAAAACCCTATTACAGTTAGGTCTTTATATAATAAAGTTAAATAAATTTCAAAAAATATCATTTACATTGGCATTTGTATCAACTTACATACTTTTCCACATATTTTGTCATAAATGAAGAAATGAATTAATACTTTACCTCTCTACAAAAAGTAAATGAATTCAGATATTGAAAACAACTAGAGATAGAACTTCATAACAATTGAATCGTTTGTCGCTCATTTAGGTCACTTTTGATTTACCACCTGAACACGAGTTGTGGATTGGGGCCCTTCTGCTCACAAGAAATTCCATCACAAAAACTAGTCTGATTTCTAGTGGCAAAGGGTTGGTTTTGTTTTTTTTTTTTGCTGTTTGCTTCAGACATTTTTGTGTATGGTAAAACATATTTCTTTACAGATGCTGGTTGTCTTTTACTAGCAACTCTGTTCATCACAGAGAAAATCTACAGTAGCGAGAGAAAGCTGTGTTTTTTGAACAGGTATAGCCAGAAAATACTCCTGAACATCCATAAAGAGCAGTATGAGGTTAAAAGTGTA